TCCCAGGGGCGGGACCTCTTCCACTGAGGCCGGACGGGGAGGGAGAAAATCTCATCTTCACTGCAGTCTTAGCAGAAGCGTTATCGCCCCTCTCCTCTCTTCCCTCTCCCCGCGATTTATACATCGCCTCAGCAATAAAACAAAGTCTTAAATTTAATCAGGAGAAATATTTCAGCGGGAGCGTACTGATAAATAATTCAGCTACAAGTTCGACAGCAGCCTGGCTCGGAAAAAAAAAACTGAAGCTGCCGCACGGCTGTTAAAAAGGTAATGTCATTCTGAATAGCTGCCTCTTAAGTGCTTGCCTCATCGGAAGAATCCTAAGATCTGGCACATGCCAAGATCTATGCACCTGAATATCATTACTCTAAAGTCAAAAACGATTGGCCTGTTTTCTAACGCACCCAAACCCACTGAAGCAAACATGGTTTCGCCACAGGATGTGGAATATGCTGGCTGTTCTGAGGGAAGTGGGGAGCTCAGAGAGAGAGAAGTGATCGCTGGACCCACTCTTTGTAGTGTTAGGCTTGCTTACCCCCGCATTGCACTGCACAGGAGTGCAGAGACACAAGCGCAAGCACAGGAATGATGAACTGAATGCAATCACAATGCTGCTGTTCGCCTGAGTTTGGGAAAACAGCCGTATCAACAGACCTATTACTCATTAAAATTGCTCTATGCAATCTTGTTTCTCCAGAGCAATTAAAATCAAACACCGTTTTTAAGAGATCTTTGGTGGAAGGAAGGAGAGCAAAAGGAGAAATGAAATACAGAGAAAGCGTGCAGTTGCTGCAAAGCAGAGTCTCCTCGTTGGGCGGCATTTTCATACAAAAGTAATGTGCGGCTCTCCCACCTTCAAGCAGGCAGTTTGGGCTGCAGATATTTCCCCCGATGTTGCCAGGGTCTGAACTCCAACCCAGGTCACAGAAACTCTAAAACTCCAATTGCAAGACACAACAGGAATTTGTAAAAGAAAATAAAAACCCAGCACAGACATGCCCGTTTCCAGCAGAGAAACCATCACCAAGGATACTCAAATCAGATTTTTGCTGAAATAACGCTCGGAAGGCAACTGCAGTACACAGGTCATTGTTCTCTTTCTGGGGAGATCACAACAACAACTTATTTATGGGGCTACTGTGGGTTAGCCAACTCTTTCGCGGCCCTGTTACAGCCATTTTGCAAACATAATGCACAGTGTCAACAGAAAGCAATAAACCATTATAAAATTAGTCTCCAGCTTGTATATCAGGCTGCTGCCCAGCCAGCCAAGAAATCCCTGCCAAGGTGAAGGCGTCGCTTCCTCTCTGCCTCTTAATCAAAAGGCAGCTGTCAGCACAGCAGAGTGCCCCCCACCCCCACCCCCAGGAAGCAGGAGCAGAGGGGGGGCAGAGCTTGGGGAAACAGGTACCAGTAAAGCAGGACCGGAATGACAGAAGAAGGAAGAAAACTCAGCCAGTGCTTAAAACAGGCAAACAAATACACCTACGTGCACTGACGCACCACCTGGATGACACCGGGAGGTGCAGAGACTCTTCCTCCCCCCGCCATCTCTTTGATTCGCCCTCAGCCACCAGACCCACTGTCCAAGAACAGGCGTCAGGGAGGGGGGCGGGGAAGCAGGGCTGGAAGGCAGAACCGGACCTTGAGATTACAGCCAGAGAAGGAGGCCAAGAGTGTTCGCAGCTGCCGGTCCTCCTCCATCAAAGAGAAGCACCTGATCTCGGCACAGCCAGAGCCCTCAAGAGCAGGCCTACCCTGAACTGGCACAGCCCAGCCCTCAAGAGCAGGCCTACCCTGAACTGGCACAGCCCAGCCCTC